AATTACCCCAAAAAAAAAAAAAAAAATTCTGCTGTTTATAAGAATGGTGACATTGCTTTCATAGGCAGTATAAAAAAGACTTTAGTTGAGTCCAGCAGTAGACATAATTAATTATTTTGTAATTTCGAAGTTTCCTAAACATGCCTTGTCAGATAGTTAGGCGGATTTTGGATTTGACAACAGGACCTTGCCTCAGCGTCAGGCGTCACCCACTGTAAACGCCAACCCGAAACCTTGAGCACGTGCGCCGCGTCACCGTGCTCGAGTCAAATCCAAAAGGAGACGTTGCCAGAGTTTGTTGCAGCTAATACGCTCACTTCTGTCAGTGCCGTGGACAACACTCCACCACCATGCTGACAGCGAGTCACACTGAGAAACCCGGTGTCACTCGCATCACTTTTAACTGAGCGCCGTGTGTGCCCGACACGATTTGTGTGCATTGTTTGTGTATCGCCGGCGCAAGATCCCAGGCAGGTATTGGCGATCCGTCACGCCCACACTCCTCCGCCGCCGTCAGGCTTTCTCATCGCCCGCGTACTGTTGTGTCACCATCTTTGTTCCAGGTCAGGTGTTTACAATGTGTGTTGTGTTGACATGATTCCTCTTGTTGTTTTGCTGTGGTGGTCACAATCGCCTACATGCATGCTGTCACACCGGACAGTCACACGAGAGCCAAGAACAACCCATTTACCGATTTTTGGTCAACAAATTTCAAGTTGTGCCATGTCATCATTTATAGCATGTCCTCAACACACATGAGACTCATTACAGATGATATCATATGAAGCATGGAAACAATTGGACTTTTACAAGTCTGTCATCTGTTCGAGAAATGTCCTATAAAACAGAACGATAATGACATGTTTGCGATGTTCCCATTGCAAGATGACACTTGGCAGTTCCTTGTTTGTGAACTGTGCATTCAAGACAAGCCTCCTTATTTGAAAGCAACAGTATATAATATGACACGTATATACTGGAAGGTACTTTTAATAATGTAATCCTGCAAGGAAATGGATCTGCTCTAGTGCGGAATGTGGCTTCTGACAAAAACTTAAAAAAAAAAAAAATTGTGCCACAGCCTCTTGCAATAGAACAGTGTCACAAAATGGAGGCATGAAGTCGACCCAGCAATTTTAGGTCTGCAGAGGGCCAAGTAGTATCACAGCCGTAATAGGCGGGCTGTTACCTCTTTGAGAAACAAATATGCTCACGGAACAAATTAAACTCTCATCTCAAGGCACCGCTAGAAAGGTTTCGAGAATGCCATCATGTGAGACTATAAAACATGATTCTTCTTTGCTTGTGTTCTGGGTTAAAGGTGATAAATACATACTGTTTTTTTTTTTTTCTTTTTAAAGCGTCTGCTTTGTTCTTTTTAAATGAAATGATCCGTAAAACATTTGTGTAACAGTCACGTTAAAAGATTTGGATGTCACAGTTTTGGGTGTAGTCAACAACGTTTAAAGTACCAACAGTGGTAATTCTAAACATCTTTTAGGGGGGGAGTCTATTTTACTGTTCGCATGAGGTCTTGGTCCCGACCTGTCATGCGTCATGATGGTTCACTGTAAATGGTAATTCAAGTAGACTTCAACAAATGTAAGCGGCTTTTATTTCCAATAAGGCAACAATAGGATCCTTCCAGTCAACGCAAACACAATTGTTGCTGTTCGTCTTTAGAAAAACGCCGCGTTTTGTATTGCAGACGACCTCCTGATGTGTGAAAATTCCATCCGTCTGTACAAAACAAGAGTTTGACTTTTGCATTGCAGATGAGCCCCGGCGTCGTACGTTACAGTAGGCTCCTCGCGCTCACCGAGGGCGATGTTGGCGATGGCAGGCGTTTTGCATTTTAATGACAAATCAAGTATGCTAACTCGCATTTGAAAAGAGAAAGTGCTCTCGGTGTCGGCCGGCTGTCAAAATGAGATGTAAGCGGTGTGATGAAAAGAGAACAAAGACGACAAAGTAGGGAGGCCCGCTACGCTGAGAAATGAAATAAAACCGTGTATGGCCTGTCAACTGTGTCGTTTTAGATTCATATCCAAAGAAGGCTGGAGTATTAGCGCCACGCTCGCACCTCACTCATCTGTCTCGCCTAATTCGTCACGGGGGCGCGCTTGTCTTTCAACGCGGGCGAGGGGCCTGCTAATTGACAAACACGGACATCCCATCTCAGCCAAGGTAGGCTGAATGTTTGAGGGGCTATAGGTGGGCGGAGAGAGGCGGCGTTGCTCCCGCTCCTCGAATGAGAAGTGACAACGGGAAGAGAGCCTGTCATTGTCTCGCCCAAGTGTTCAATCTGCAGGCACGGGCGCCATGCAGATAAAGTGTCAGTTAGGCGGAGAGGATATGAAACATTGGCGTTCTGAAGTCCTCCCATCACTTAAGCAGCAGCGTGAGCGTGCGTGCGTGTGTGTTGAGCGGTGATGTATAGCAAAAATGCTCCATGTCTGATCTACGCAGGCCCGTTTAGGGTAACCCGAGCTCATAAATTAAGCGAGCAAATAACGCATTTACGTCAGGGACATAGATGTTTAGTGTCAAAAACAAAACCATTTTAATTTCAGCAGGCTGGCTTTTCAAAATTATGGACTCCTCCCGGGGAAAGCCGGAAGATGTGTTCAGGACGTTTGAAGTAATGGATGGCTTGTCGTGTTCTGCCGTCTCTCCAATTTCAGCTTGTTTCTCCATTTCTTTCTCACCGCTCGGCTCGCTTGAAATGACGGTGTCGGGAGAGAGTTTGAGTCGTAAAGAATTATTTTTCATAGCTGTGAGTGGTAAAGAGGTTCTTATAATGGCATTATTTGAAATAACCAAAAAACAAAAAACGACAGATAGAATGATTGTTTGATAGTCTTGTGGCTTTAGCTTTGTAAAATAGTGATAATTGTGTTGAGTTGAGGAAAAACCCAAAACTCACTTGCACCACCCACCCTGTTGGGCAGAAAACAACTTTTAATGTCCGGCAAGTAGTTTTGACATTACACCAGATGCTGACGTTGTCTTAATATGTCGTTGTAGGATAGTTACTGTACGATCCCCGCCTTTGACGGATACTTTGTAAAAGCCAAAGACCAATGAATGTGACACTTACAGTGACTGGATCACTGTGTCAAGTCAAGTCAAGTACAACTTTATTGTCAAATGCACTGTATCTGCACAACATGTGTGGAACTGCTTTCCTGTATGTCTGTTGTTGCTAGTGCTCCTGCTCCATGCGTTCTCACGGAAAAGAGTTGGAATTTTTTTTTTTTTTTTTTTTAATAGGGCTTAACCTATTTTTACATCAGCCACGTTCCAAAAATATGGATGTTCAGTTAACTGAAAACTATAAATTCTTTATAGATGCAGATGTGAGCGTCATTGTTTGTATGTTCCCTGGGATTAGTTTACCAACATTCCAGGTCTTGCTCAGAGTCAAATGGTTTTGGCTCCAACTCACCCGCTAATTAGAATAAGCGGAATAAAAAGATGGATGGATGGGTGCGCTTTAATGACAGGTATGAAAGTTTGAATGTTCCTTTCAACGTTGCTTTCAACAGTTTTTAGGAAGTGAAATTCTGAAAAGATGATTTGACCCTAGAAAGGGTTAATTCCGTGTCCAAAACTGTTAGCAGATTGAAATACATTGGAAGTCGACCATCATCATGGAATGCAGTGAATAGCACTTTTATACTCGAAGGGGTAAATGGTGCTTATGTAAGAGGCTGTTTAGAATTGTAGGTCCAAATGAGTATATCTGGTTTGTCAGCCATCGGAGGAAAAGAGAAACGGTCAAAAGACAATATAGTTGCCTGCAGAGCTGTTGACTGTC